ATGCATGCGGGTAGGAGCGAGAGTCATCAGACAACTCTTCAAGTACTGAACAGTCATGTGACTAATTTGCTAGACGGATATGCGGGAGAAAGAGAAAACAAAATGAGAACAAACGGAGTGAGGGAGGAGAGGAAGAGGAGGAAATTATTCTATGGTACGAACAATCATTATCTGTCAGTTATGAGGGGTCAGCGCTGCCACGGCTATAAGAGCTAGATGCACCTGGAAGTAGCTCGAGAAATAGTACTCTGCTAACAAGACTGTTGATGATCCACTCGTCCGAAGGCTGCTTGAGAAGTATGCTGAAGTTGATTTGGCTTTCTGGTATAATTGATTTATCAGTAGCATTTGTTGTCGAAGTTAGTTGCTGAAGTTTTGATTTCTGCTACTGTTGAATTCAAGCCCAGTGCCTCGATTCAAGAGTAGGTGCATTTTGCCATTATATGAAACCTGGGCATTATGCAGTTTTTTAATTTGAAGGTTTGCCACCACTCTGGATGCGTCAGATACCATACACGATGATGAAATTTGCTTGCTTCGAACGTACCGTTGAAATGCTGTACAAGTACGTGGTTCCGAAACCAAGATCGCAATGTTCGAAAGCTGAGCAGCTGGTTGTCACTTTCTGCGCCGGATACATCGCCGGTGTATTCTGTGCTGTTGTATCGCATCCTGCAGATACTGTTGTGTCGAAGCTAAACCAGGATGCTGGTTCGGGCGCCATGGAAGTAGTCAGAAAACTCGGCTTCATTGGTTAGTATTTGGATCTCTTGTCTATAGACATCGTTTTGTTGGTCCCATAATCCGGCGTTTCACGGAGCGGAATCAGTTATTTTTCTTCTGAAATATGTCAGAACTAGTAATCCGTCAAGCTTTTGTTGTTAGTATCAACACTGATCACTAGGTTCTTTTCGGCACCTCTCATGTAGAGGTTTAAATATTCTTTTGACAGGTTTGTGGAAAGGTCTGATCCCACGTATCATTATGATCGGAACGCTGACTGCCGCGCAGTGGTTTATTTATGATAGCGTGAAGGTGATATTCAAACTTCCACGTCCACCGCCACCGGAGATGCCAGAATCACTGAAAGCGAAGTTGAAGCTGCAAGAAGCTGGAAAATAATGGTCTTTTTTTGAAGACTGTAGTGTTTTAGTTGTCTATTTTGCACTTTTACGTTTTCTTGATAGCACTTGAAAAGTTGCCTATGTTTATTGATGGAAGTTGAGAAGGTGTCAGTGTTGTCCAATCATTCGTTACGTCAACAAAGTTGCATATGCTTTGAAGATGCTAGAAAAAGGACTGAGGGGCTCTTCCCTCAGCATTTGCAAGCACCACAGTAATGTTTGGGCTCGCACACTCGTCATTGA